GAAAGAGTGAACTGAGGGCTGAGAAGGTGCTAGAGGCTGGGAAAATGTTATCTTTGTATGTTTCAAAACTAAACCTTCTAATTTATTGGATGTGGAGTTAATCCCTTTCAGTTAATGTGGTCCCTTTCAAAGCAGCCAGGTTTAGATAACAAAATTTAAAGCAATTAATGCAGTAATATAAAATATGTTGTAGTACATTAAATCTTTGGACAATTAATTTCATGGCAGTTCAAGGTGTGTACATTTGATGTTTACAAAGAGAGAATGTGTTGTGCTTTGTACAATGTCATGTTACAAGAAAACGGAATTCTATCTTTTCTATCTAGTGTAGAGAATGAACTAGTTTATATAGATTTCATTTTGTGTCTTAAAAACACTTCCAGTCATTTGTGATAAAACACAAAGTAATGCAGTATAGAAAAAAACAATTTACCCACTTAATTTATCTAAAAAAAAATTTTTCTGTAAGGAAGGTCTTGTCTCTCTCTGGGATGATGTAGAAAATACTCCTCATTCTCTTAGTAAAGAGACATCGGTGGCGTCTAAAGTTCCAGAGCACTTCATAGAGAAATTGTGGTGGCGTGTTGTGGGTGACACCTTGGTAGTTGGAGCAGAGCTAACTGAATCATTGTACTTGTAAGTATATACGATATTTTTATTTGACTAGTTTTCTAGAAACTGAATTTGCATGTTCAGCTATGCAGTAGCAAGAGTGGATTTTTGAGCTTTGAACTTTCTCATTTTGCATATCTGTATGTTAAGTGGTTCAGGTGTGTCTTCTCAGTACAGTTGCTGCTGCTTGTGTCTCTTAATATTGTGGGAAAAAACACATAAAGCCAAAAAATCAATTGTATCGTTATAACCACATCATTACTGGAGGCTTTTTACAACAGGGTTTTCTGTGACAAAACCTGTGGTTATCTATAGTCTGTGTTGACATAGCTATGCTGACATCAGAATGTGGTGTAGGTAAAACTCTGTCTTAGCTATATGGTTCCTGATGCCTTACTGTTAACAATTTGCCATTCCTAATGAGTGATTTGGCTAAAGAAGTGCAGAAGAAAACATTTTAAATTCTCTGATCAATTTAATGTATTAATACTCACCTTTTTAATTGATCTATGCTGCAGTGAAGTGTTCAACCAAGTAAAATATTTTCTAAGCTTACGTATTGTGTAAATTATGTGGAACAATCAGCCATACAAGACTTAAACCTTAACAATTATTTGTTCATTCTTATTATTGTCTCTACAATTATTTGTTTATTCTGCTTATTTTAATTGCTCAGGTTTAGTTGTAAAAACTACCAATGTAGTTTCCCACTTACAAGGAGGGAGCTAAATTGGAAGACAGTTTAAAAAACAGGATTACATGAACATTACAGTACAATGTACATTGTGTTATGGAAACTTTGGTGGAGTTAGAACTTACCTTTTGACCTATATTCCCACAAGCAGTGTAACTGAGATTGTGCTAGGATAAGCTTAAAGGCTGTTGATGCCACTGAAAATCATTCAAGTGGTTGTGAGGGAGCTGACCTGTTGTGCCCTTAGGCCATTCTGCTGGAGCTGCGGGTATATTATTTCTCAACTGCCAGATTGCTATAACTTTACAGGAAAGTTGACCTCATCTTCTTGACAGTCTCTGTTAAAAGCCACTAAGGCAAGAGATTGTTCTTGTCTTTCCAGCTTTTATTCTTCTAGCTTTGATGATGACTTTGTTTTTGAAAATGAAATACCCAATTGCTGCATAGCTTCAGAAATCCTCAGAAAATTTGGAACAACTCTTTAAAAACCAGCAGCAGTATTACCCTCTCTCCTGTTTTCACAGTTGAAAAAAGATCTGGGAAGATGATGTCATTTGACAAAGTTTAGCTGGTAGGCTAGCTGCAGAACCTACATCTTCTGAGCTTCAGTTCAGTTCTATATACAATGACCTTTGGTTTTGGGGAAAAGGTCTCACTTTCTCTCCACCCCAAACACCAGAAGTCTTTACTGATTATTTTTGTGCTTCCTACTAATGCAAGACTGCAGTGATGATTCAGACTGCTTTTGCTTCTTCATAAAGAAAGTTAGACATTCGTGAGACTTTCAAATGTCAGTGACATCTTGAGACTGAATTGATGGACAGAAGAAAATATTCATTAAGTGAAGATTTGACACAGTAATATTAGAACTTAATTGAAAGAACCCTGTGTTGAATAAAGTTCTTAATGCATTTCAGGAAATTACTGCATGTTTAAGGTAATAGTAATTTAAACCTTTTATTTTGCTCTCTATGTTCAATTCTGTTTGAATCTCTATAAAACAATATATGACATCAAGAGACCTTTAAGTCCTTAAAGAGAGCATAGATACTTCCTGTCTTTCTTATTAATGGAAAATTAAGTCTTTAAAAATTAATTATTAAACTCATACAGTATCTGCATATGTTATGTGGAATTTTCAACATTTTTAGGGTAAATTAAACATTCAGAATCTTTCCATTGAAGTGAGGCATCTAGCTCTTAGAAGCTCTTGGAAAATTCGGACCACATTTTGAAAATGTTAATACTAAGCTTAGATGAAGTAGTCATCTGAAGGACTTGCAGTCTTTGCACAATTTGTGACTTGGCCTGGAATGATATTGGAGTTTGTGGTAATCTTAAATATCTGTATGTATCTGCAAAGTTCTGGTTATTTGTCAGAGGGCAAAATATAAACTCAGAGTGCAGTCATCTTGTTTGGATTTTCTCAGGTCACTGAGTGATGTCAGTCTATCTTTAGTGATGGATCAAGACTTCTCTTCAATTTCTCCGATGATCAAGTGTCAAAATAAAATCATTAAGCTGAACAAAGCCTTCTCAGCATTGTCTGTCTCCTCGTGTCAAATTGAGCCTCCTCCAAAAAAGATTAAATTGGACTTACATAGCAAAAACTATCAGAAAGAAGATTTCCCCAAGAGATGTTCAAGGGTTCAGCTGGATGGAACAAAGACAGTCATTGCCATTACCAGCCTTTCACGATTGCTGGCATTTCATCATGTATGTTGCATAGTTCTTCTACATGCAAAGAAACAAAAACTTTGGAATGATTGTTTACAGGAGAGCAAAAAGATTACTGTACTCTGTGGGAAAATTTTGTTAAGTCTGGATGATATTTCAAATGGAAAATATTCAGTGAAGATGCAAAGGGATAATAGTTACTGTACAGGTAAATGGGTTGATATAATTTGGATTAATAAATATATAGTTGATTCTTCTGTTTACCCTAGATGATGCCAAACTAGGTTTTCAAGGTGCAATAACATCTGTTTCTTTGAACACGAACACAAACTGCATAGACCTGTTGTGAATTAAAAGCGGGGAAAAATACAAGACAATATTTTTCAAAATGAAAAAAAAGTTAAATAAGTGAGTTGCTGTGAGGTTTTGTGCTATTATTGGTGCTGAAGTGTATCTGGAAAGGTTAATTTTGGAGTCTGAGTACAGAATGCTGAGGCCTGCATTTTTTCTATAAGATATTTACTGTTTATTAGACATATATATTTTTTCTCACCTCTCAAATAATTGAACTTTTTCTTTAATTATTTCTATTAAGGTCATTTATTTTTCTTTCTTTTACTATTCCAAACTAAATGGATTTTGAACTGGGCTTCTGCTCGTGTAGTGAAATAAATTTTTGATAGTTTCAATGAATTTTCATTTTTCTTCCTTTAATGCTGTATTATTGACTAAAGACAACATGTCATTTTACTATCACAGGAGGCCATCAATCTTCTTTTGGCAGGGAGACATTTATCTTTAGAGCTTTCATTATGTAGCAGAGTCTTTCTTAATCAGTGGTCTATTTTGCTTGATAGAAATAGATATAAGAATATAGATGAGAATTCCCAAAGAATGTATGAATGCAGGTGTAAACTCTTCACACAAAGCTGGGAACATAAACCAAAAATCTAAGCATATTTAATACATGCAACATGATCAAAATACTTAGGTCAAAAAACTTGTTACTATATTTTCTTGCAGGTTCCATGGAAGATATATTTACTGTCCTTGCAGTATCTGTCAGATTCTCCTTTCAGATTGTGTCTTCTGACTGCACATTAACTTCAGTAAATTCATGGTTACTGGGAGAAATGGAGTGCACACCGTTTAGGGAATGCCAGGACAACGTATTCTGTCATAAAGCAGGAGATGTGTATGGTACAGTTTTTAACTGGACTCTAAAAAATCCATTTGAAGGAGTTCTAACATTATTTTGCAGGTAAAATAGCTCAAAAAGCATATATGCATCCTGCATACACACCTTTTTATCTTTACACTGTTCCTTACTAGTACAATAAGCAACAGCCAAAATCACAACCAGTAGGCTTGCAATATGTTGATATGATAACCGTCAGCAGTAACAGAATTATTTTCGAATCATAACTATGGCAGAACCTGAACTGCATTGTTTAATTTTGTCTCGGCTAGACCATGGAATAAGTCTAGTCTCCATGTAATATTTGCTTGGTACTGTTTTTTCATTTCACTACTTTATAATTGTATATTCATTTTTCTTACATTATTCCTAGTATAATACAAAATTTTTCTTCAGCGTGTGTTGGTTTAAAAAAACTTGATTAAGGAACAAAACCCATAAACAACAACAAACCCCAAGTTATACTAAATTTAAATATATTATGTCATCTTGTAGTTTAGTAGTGCAACATACATTTAGTCTAATTTTGTCCATTTATGATACATTTTTTCCTATTTACCATTATTTTGAAAATGAAATACTATGAAGAGTCTTGGTGATTAGTTTTCTTATGCAGATTCCTGGACAAATGTCTATACATTTTCTAAACCAGGCTAAACAAGTTAGCAATACTGCTATAATTTACGATTTAGCTTTGTAAGGCTCACAACATACAAAGTACTTTTGAATTGCTTCTCAAAGAAAGCAGTGATGCACATGTAACCCTAATCATGGATGTGTATTTTAGCATAGAATATTTATGGTGCTGAAATTTGCTTAGTGTCTATTCTTTTGTCATAGAGTGGTTAGTATGCACACTGTTAAAAAGACTCACTTACTCTTGTATGTACGCTACACATTTTACTTAAAACCATAAGTTTAAGTTTTCTTCATAAGTTTTTCCCTGTTTGATTTAAAATAGCTTTGTTTTTTATTCCACTATAGAATTTTGAAGATCTATGGTAGCTTTAACGATAATAATTTTATTTTTCAGGAACCTGACCGTGTTATTCCAGTGCCTTCATAGCCTTACTAGAGTTCTCCCACCAGGTTGTGATGTAAAACTCCTGAGATCTGGAAGCAAAGGTGTACTTAATGAACAGTTAGCACTGGCTTTGGAAAACGAAATGCTCACCTTGAGGAGGTCTTTCTTCACAAAAGAAAGTAAAGCTGAAAACAGCCTGACACGAGTGAATGAGCCTAGCAAGAAGATCATTGATACTCCCATGGCTTCTTTACTGGACAGTGAAGAGGGAGTTCAGCAATTCAGAAAGAAGCTTCAGAGTGAACGGGAAGAGTGTGAGCGAAGTATGAATCAGACAATGGCTGGTGCCCTTTACCGGGAAACTGCTTTGAAAATAGCAGAAGCTCAGCTCAATTCAGATACAATTGTGTGGAGACTGAGCAAGTCCTAGAAACTATTCACTAAATGTATTTTGAATAATTTTTTATTAAAATAATTAAATAATATTTATATTTTCATGGGTACTTGTATTACTTTTTATTCTATCGCTCAGTTATTTCTATAGATAAATACTGGTATTTTGGTTGATGAATCGTAGCTGGTTTGGCAAGAATTTATGAAGATAGGAGAGTCATTTTGTTACAGATTTCCAAAAGAATTTTTTAAGGTATTTTCTAATAAATTCTATTCCAAAGGCATAGTTCTTGAATTACAAATGAACTCTATTAGGAAACAAATTGACAACCACCATGTATGTTTAAAATAGTACTATTAAACTTGAAAGATGACTATTTACACAGGTAAAAACTTAAGCTTTTTTTTTTTAAACACCTTAAGACAGCTATAGAAAGTATCTAAGTTAAGAAGCCAGTTTTAATTTATGGTTTGAGTATGGGGTTAGACAAAATAGAAGAAGAGGCGCTCTATCTTATGATATATTAAGGCTTTGAAATGGCTTTCAACGATACCACTTGAGGAAGAACACTGATTGTACCTTTCAGCTCTATCTTCTAGTGTCCATCTTCAGATCAGAGAGATTTTGGAGTATTTATTGGAGCTGGAGAGCTAGATCAAACCTCCTAAAAATTGCCAAGAGTTTATGGAGATACAGTCTGTAATAAAATGCCGTCAAGACTGAGAGGTCCATTCCCACCCATAATCTAGATGTATGGCTTATCTAGGGTAAGTCCTGGGGGAAACTGTCCTTCCTTGGGTATTAGCCTAGCTTCAATGTCAGAAGATTTGTTTGTTCAGTCAATCCCTGAGTCGTATTGCCTGTTGATACTACCTGCTCAGTGGTTTTGGCTTATCTCTAGTATTTGAAACAATGCGCAACTCCTGCTTATTGGTTCTCTCTTCTCTGGTTTCAACTAAATACCAACTATACACCCAGGAAGAGAACTGCATGTGATCTTGCGGGTAGTACTTGCTCAGGTAGTTACTTTTAAATATTTTTTCCACCATTTTTTAGTTTTGTGAGTGGCAGAAAGCTTAGAAAATCCCAGATCCAAATAATTTACTTCCTACTGTCTCTGCTTTATGTAAGCAAAACATTCCTAGTATTTGTTACCATTTTTCTAAAATTGTCAACAATTTTGCTTTTCAGTTTTCCTAAAAATAAAATTTTAATCGTTAACAACTGTGGATTGCACAAATAAAATTTTCGTAGGAAGAATGGAAGCTATTTGTTGACAAAATAATTCTGTATCTTTTTTCATCAGGAAGTTTATCTTCTGTATGGATGTCTTCCAAAAGCATTAGAGGGAGCATGTACTTCAGTCTAAGGTGTCTTCTCATATGGACAACAAAAGTAAACAAATACACATCTGAAGGCAAAACACTAGGTAGAAAAACAGTAAATGAGAGAACACTGTGCTTTATAAGCACAACCCAGTTTAATGACATAGTCACACTTTTGAGATGCACAAAGTATTAAATTTCTCCTTTTTTGCCTATGTGAAAGGGAAATTTTGCATTGAGATGTTAAGAATGCATTAAGAAATTGTGATGGGTATTTGAAACTTGGTATTTACTAGATGATAAAGAACTGTTTAAAAAAAAAAAAACAAAACAACACTTTTCTTTGATAAGCTGCCATTTTGTTAAGCCCATCATCAGAGCTCAAGAGCTCATTGTCAAGGCTTGGCAGTCAGTTGTCACTGGCATTTCCAGAAGTTTCTGATTATAAACACTTAAATGAAGTGAAAAATCTTAAAAATGCAATCCTGTAGCTTGCAGCTAAGGGCAAAACCTTGGCAAACCAGCTGAGCAGAAACTTTCAGAGCAACAAAGCTACATTCAGCTCAGGGCCCTTGAAGGATTGTATGCAAAGCAGTGTAACCAGTCCAGTAGTTGATTTTCATATAGCACTACAGTAGCAGGTGGTGTTGTAACTAACCATCCTATGTCTGCTTGTCTTGAAAGAGAAACTTCCACTTATGTTTGCATCCCTTTATTGAACTAGGAGAGTGGGACAAATTAAGAGAAGCTGCTAAGGGCAGAAATTGCCAGTTTCAAATTCCATGGAGTTGTTACTAATAATTACTTTAAAGAAACAAGCAATGAAACCACAGAAGTGTAGAAGCGAAATTATTAGAGCAGAGTAATAATGCATACAGCACATGTTCTTACTAAAGAGTCTTTCCAGAGGTATGAATGTTTAGTTTGCATATCATCAGATAAGATCATTAAAAGCTTTCCTAACAGCTGGAAGTTTCCTTGGACTAGTTCTCCAACTAACTAGTTACGCAAAATGACAGGGTACAACTTTCAGTGGTTGTGTTGCAATTGCAGAGTCTCTGGCATATGCATAGGAGATACTTTTATGAGCCAAAATGTAAAGGTCTCTGGAAATTCTTGGAAGGTTTATGCTGGTATGGGGTTTTTTTGGCCAGGAATCATGGGAAAATGGAACTAATTTGAACAAAGGTTCAGGCTTTCTAGAATCTTATCTTCAAGTGGCAGCAACAGGAATTTTGTTTGCTTTCCTAGACTTGCCTTCCAGAAGGAAAAGCAACTAAAGGTGTTATCCTTCAGTTTATTTGGACTTGTGGTGATTAACCTCATCACATGCTGGTATTCTAATGGAGAGTCCAAATTGCATGGACTTGAAAAACTGGTTGGGTTGGTTCACAACATTTCTGTTGTGAACAGTTGGAGTCCCATTTTCTGCATTTCCAAGAAAGTCTTGGAAGTGAATTGTTGCATAGAGTGAGTTCTGCAAGTACTTTTTTTGGGCAAATAATTGAGAAATTAAATCAGGTAGTGGCAGCAGCAGTCCTAGTTATTGGGGATTGGTATTGCCAAGAAATAACTGCTAAAACAGTTGGACTTTGTAACCTCTTCTGTGTGATAGCAGGTCAAGTTGGGAAAGATAGAGATCACAACCAACAGAATGCTTTTTGTTAATAAAGCTGTTAATAATAGCAGATAATCCTCATCCCTGACAGCGTTTAAGGCCAAGGTGGGGCTCTGAGCAACCTGCCCATGCAGGGGGGTTGGAACTAGGTGATTTTCAAGGTCCCTTCCAACCCAAAACATTCTGTGCTTATGGTGATTCTATGATAAATGTTCACACAACATCTTCATTTACTGTTACACTCATAATTACTCTGTATGAGGAACAACTGGGAGGCCAATTCCAGCTCCTGAGACTTTCTGGCTCCTAGGTAGGTAGTTGAGAAAGTCCGTCAAAGGAACCCTTTGCTTTATCAGGTGTGTGTATACATCATTCAGTGGGATTTTTGTCTGCATATAGCAACCACTACCTGCTTGTACACAATCCAAGTTATGCAACCTATGGTTAATACTAGTGTAAGTGGCTTTGTACACAGCCAGCAGGCTCTTGGTGTTCTGAATTTGTCCGTTCTTGTAGATTTAACAGGGCAACCTGTTTCCAGAGTTTACCAGTTCCTGGGAGATTTTCACATGTAGCTTCTCAGCCTATAGTCTCAGCATGCTGATTACTGGTGTCTGCTCTTCCATCCAGAACTGTAGAACCCTTTCACATAAGCTTGCACAGAAGGGACCTTTGTCACACACAAATTTTGACAAGATAGTAAGATGGCACCCAGAGCCAGCTTGTCTTGACTCCAAAGTGTCAAGTAGTTTTGATTTCTGAAAACCAGCCAATGTCAAAGGTTTCTGTCAAGTATATATGGGAGTGGTTTCAGTTCTCTGGCTAGAACAGTGATCAGCATGTAGACGTGTACCTCGTGACTGTTCTGTTACCACGTTTCAAAAGACTGGGATGCAAAAAGGAAACCTGGCATAGGAAGTAAGAACTGTCATGCTTAAATGCACGCTTGTGTCGATCTTAGCACTTTTGAAGTCAGCATGACTTAAGACCCTAAGAAGAGGGTTTGTGTGGCAAAGAACTCTTTTTGCTAGCCTAGTTGACATAACACATACATTTGCTTATTAAAGTGATTTTTCTCTGTCATTCTCACGCAGGAGAAACCTGTCTGCTCTAGAGTAGCCTCTGTTGGATAGACATATTTCCTTTTAAAGTTGGAACCAGTGGTGTTTAAAATCTTTGTTGGAGATATGGACAGTGGGATTGAGTGTATTCTCAGCACGTCTGCTGTGTGGTTGACACCCCAGAGGGAGGGGATGCCATCCAGAGGTGCCTTGACAGGCTGGAGAGGTGGGCCAATACCAACCTCATGAAGTTCAACAAGGCCAAGAGCAGGGTCCTGCACCTGGGTCAGCACAACCCCAGGCACAAATACAGGCTGGGGGGAGAATGGCTGGAGAGCAGCCCTGAGGACTTGGGGGTAGTTGATGAGAAGCTCAACATGAGCCACCAGTGTGTGCTGGAGCCCAGAGAGCAACTGCATCCTGGGCTGCATCAAAAGAAGTGTGGCCAGCAGGGCCAGGGAGGGGATTCTGCCCCTCTGCTCTGCTCTGGTCAGACCCTATCTGGAGTGCTGTGTACAGCTCTGGGGGCTTTCAGCACAGGAAAGATATAGACCTGTTGAAGAAGGTCCAGAGAAGATGATCAAAGGACTGGAGCACCTCTGCTGTGAAGACAGGCTGAGAGAGCTGGGGCTGTTCAGCCTAGAGAAGAGAAGGCTCCAGAGAGACCTTACAGCTGCCTTCCTGTACCTGAAGGGGCTACAGGAAAGCTGGGGAGGGGCTTTTCATCTGAGAAGATAGTGATGGTACAAGGGGTAAAGTTTTTAACCTGAGAGAGGGGAGATTTAGGTTAGATATTAGGAAGAAATTCTTTAGTGTGAGGGTGGTGAGGAAGTGGAATGGGTTGCCCAGGGAGGTTGTTGATGCCACATCCCTAGAGGATTTTAAGGCCAGGTTGGACAAGGTTTTGTGCAACCTGGTCTAGTGGTAGGGTTCCCTGCTTGTGATCTTTAAGGTCCTTTCCAACCTTAATGATTCTATTATTCTATATATTTCAGATGGGATCAGTTAACTGGCTGCCAGGTTTTTTTTGGT